CGTTTTTGCAAGGGGAAAAAAACTCCTCTGCCCCCGGTAGACTTCCAAACAAGCCCCCAAAAAAAAAAAAAAAAAAAAAAAAAAATCCACTAGAAACAAATAGCAGACAGGAACAACACCAGAAAAGCTATATGTGATAGTTGTCCAGATTTGTTTGAATTACACCTCACGTGCATGCTTCGCAGCGCGAACGTACGCAAAAAGGAGGCGAAGAATGGAGAATAATATAGTCACTCTGAGGACAAAATGTGGTGGCAGCGAAGCAGGGAGGGCGATGGAGGGGGATATAGCCCCGTTCATCTCCTCTCATTTTCTGCCCGCTACTACCCGGCAGAGTTTCTATGGCAACCCCTCAAAAAGCGGTGTGCGGTGAATTGTGGATTTGAGATGCGCCGTCTGATTGCGCTGTGTGGAGGAGATGGCTGGCTCTTTCGTCAGCCTTTCCCCGTGTAAGAGGAAATTGGTGAAGGGCTCCAATGAAACAGCACTCCATATGCTTTCTTTGATCTGCGTGCCAGGCTTCGGGCTCGACGTCATGTGTGTGTGTGTGTGTGTGCGTGTGTGTGTGTTGGGGTGCAGACAATGTGCAGAGCGGGCTCACCAACGCTTTACATTAGGAATCCGGTGCCCGCCTCCCCTCCTCACCAAGAGAAGCCGCTTGTCACTCTTGGCACCCACCAGACATCGCTCATATCTCCAAAAAAAAAAAAAAAAAGAATGAATTTGTCTGGCGGACCGTGTGGACTCATCAGCATGCTTTGACTTTCAGCTGATTGATTCGAAGCCACTGATGACGATTCACTTCTCTGAATTCAAACAGCAGCGTGCAGCGCAGTGCAGTGTGTCCTGAGTGTGAAATCATGACAAATGGCACAAATAGTTTCAGATCCCCGCAAGCTCTCCCCTCCCCTCCGCTCACCACCTCACTGCTTTTCTTTTCTTTCTTTTTTTTCTTTTCTTTCCCATGCAGGCAGGAACTTGTGCCCGTGACTGACACGCACTGATGCGGGGGTCTTTGTCACAAGACCTGCTCCTTTCTGTGCACGAGTAGGACATGTATGTTGTTCAGTGGGAGCTCCATCTCTCTTCTTCTGAGTGGCTGTATGATGCTTGTAAGCTGTGCCAGTCCCCATTAGCATCCCATTATAAACCAGCATGATCACTCGTCACTTAAAATGCCTGCCACAGCATGCTCTGTGTGTGTGTGTGTGTGTGCGGGTGTGTGTCTGTGAAAGTTTTTTTTTTTTCTTTTAAAGCACGTGCGTGAACGTGAAAAAGAATCACAGTCAAGTGATTGAGATGGCCTTGTTTCAGAAGGGGTTTAGAAAAAAAAAAAAGAAAGAAAGCGGTAGCAGAGCCTTGCAGTGGATGCAATTTCATTTAAATGTCTCTGCAAGTGTTTGGTTTGTTTGACCCAGATTTCTCACCTACCCCGCAATTGATAAATTGGATATCCGGAGGCAGCCTTGTGCAACTATTCAATGTAGTTTCTATGTAGCGAGCAGCGCCCTCTGCTGAGTTATACCCGTGTTGCACATGATTTGTTTTTCAAATCTACAGCGCTTTACAGCCATGTGAAAAATTTAACAGCCTGTTTTCCTAACATATGGGGACATATGGGTTCTAATGATTCATTTTAAAAACTGAGAAAATTTCAAGTAAAAATAATCAAGCAAGTAAGACTTAAAAAAAAAAAATAAAATAAAATTTTGGTGTGGAATAAATTAGGAACACTCCCACATTTAGTTCCATGAATGTAAAATAGCTAAAATCACGTCAAGAACACAAGATTATAACAGGAGGTCTTTAAAGGAGGTTTGTCTTTTTGAACCTGAGACATTTAGTTGATGTTATAGCTGTCTGGAAAAAAACCTCAAATTAGAAGCACGGAGGGGAAAATCTCATGGCTTGGGAATGCCTTATCTATCTAAACAGCTCTACATCACTTTCCCCATGGATTGTGCCATCTGTTGAAGGGTGCTTGCTGAACACGTGAGATCATCTGTCAAAATGAAAAAAAGCTATTGCACTCTGTAGTGAGAAATCAGATAAAAAGGCCTTCAACAGTGCTTTGCGCATGCAGCTTGATTTGAACGTTTTTACCAATAGATCTTCCTGCTTTGTTTATTTTACCATGAGATTGTAGGTTCTTTGAAGGCCAGTATTGGTACCATTATTTCGGTGTGACTTCACAGAGCTCTGCTCGTCTCCTGTCACGGTCCGAAAACCTCTGCATGCACCCACAGTCAAATTCTTTCAAACTCACTCAGGTCTGGAGGAATGTTGAGTGTCTCTAGCCCTTCTCCCTGGAGATTAGAGCTCCCCATGCATGGCCTCTCTCCTCTCCTCAAACTCATTCCATAGTGTGCCCCCTAAGAGCTGCTGCATTTTTATCTGAGCCCGGTGATTGTGACAGATTGGGCCAATGATGCACGCACACACACACACACACACACACACACATCAGTACACATTTGTGTACACACATGTTCAAGGCTCTATCAGAGGGGAGGTTGCTTTGCCTAGGGAGGGACAGACAGTGCCAGGCTTGGGGTATAAAACCCTCCCAGGATGAAACCAGAGTCCTCCCCTAAGCTGGACTCTTTCTCAGTCCTTTGTGCTAGGACACTGTCAGGACCGGCAGCAGACGAGCCGCCAGCATGAATGACATCTACAAAGCAGCGGTATGTTCTCTCACTCAGCTCATATGCTTTACGCTGTGTGTACAGTCAGCTCCTTCTGATGAGGCACTTTGGTTTTGCTGGATAGTCCCCAAAACTCAGTGAGAGCTAATCTGGGAGGAGAAGGATTTTGTTTGCACATCACCACTCTTACCATTGATTTGTAGAGAGAATTTGGTGGATTCTGTTGAAGGCTTGGAGAGTTTTGTGATTGTTTAATTAGCTGGGAAGAGTCCCATATCTTTTTGACTAACTGCTGGTATTTGAGTCCTGCCAGTGTCTGTTCAGTGTGTCCCTTCCATCACCAGCTGGTATCAAACATGTCGGTGGATCTTTGACCATATTAGAAGAGGTGGGAGCGGACATGTCCCTGGTCATCACTCTGCTGCTTCATTCTTGACTTCAAATGGACCAGTCCTGCCTCCCAGGGCTAATTTTGGCAAGTTGCTCAAACGATTCTGCTCCTGTAGTGCTCTGGTCCCATGGAAGGCCTTCAGGTTTAGATAAACTCCTCCTCCACTGGATTCCAGCATTATCTGTGATCCTGAAAGCTGTGCTGTTGTGTGTGTCCCCTCTCCCCCCCGTCCTGCTGGACAGTGGACCCGGTCGTCCTGTTCCCTCACATCCCAGCTGAGCAGGACATCTAAGACAGGAAAGGCTCCCAAGAATGTACATAACATGTTTGTTTGGATACATCGTTTCATATATCATCACTTGAGGGACTGTGTTTGTTTACAAGAGAGCAACTGAATGTATGGCTGTTTAATTTACTGCAGACGACAGATGATAACTCTTATGCAAGCAGCTGTCTCCCTCTTTCGCTGTAGCTTTTGCAGGATTACTACCCCATTGTTATGGGTGGTAGCCAGTGCTATGCTAATTTAACACACTCTGTGTCGGGTTCCTTTATCTGTGGATCCCGATCATGCTGTCTATTTTTAGCTCCCCATCATTGTGGGTGCCACACATGAAACATACAGTATGTATTTTAATTGCAGACGCATCAATGAAAAATTTTCCAGCGTATTTCCAATCTAAAGTTTTTGACTGGAAGGAAGATCAAACTTTTACTTTAGCATTGTTAGCATTGATCAGAGCTGATTGGACGTGTAATCATTCAATCGCCATCTTATTTCTTGGCACATCATTGGTTTAGCCGGTGGCGGTTAAGTCAGAGGAATACCACTTCTGACTGAAAAGTTATCAGAACAAACATGAATAAAGTAAAGGGACATTTGTTAAAGATTTCAGGTCCAGATACCAGAAGTAAAAACGTTCACAGTGAAATTAAATTAATATGAGACAGTGCAGAAAGGGGAAGACCCCCACAGATTTTGTTCAGGTTGTGTAAACGGTTCATTCTTTTAATCGTTTCATCGTTTACAGGTTGAACAGCTGACAGATGAACAGAAAAATGGTGCGTAATTTTTATTTTAAATTTTATGAATTTTATGGGAACATTTTCACGTCATGTCCCTGCTTGCTAAAGAAAAGCACAGTAAGATGGAGAGTTAGATGCATCTGATGCAACCAAATATATCTTTTAAATCTTTTTTCCCCTTTACTGTTGGGGTGTTGCAGAGTTCAAGGCCGCCTTCGACATCTTTGTGCAAGATGCAGAGGATGGCTGCATCAGCACCAAGGAGCTGGGGAAGGTCATGAGGATGCTCGGTCAGAACCCCACGCCAGAGGAGCTGCAGGAGATGATAGACGAGGTGGATGAAGATGGTAAATCGAAACAGGAAACTGAATGGTTGACCTCTTCTTGCCCATAGTTCAGCGACCTGGTCTGTCTTGTGCAAACGGAGCATCAGCCAGACCCTCAATGCTTAATGTCAAATGAAAGTCAGCGGTCGTAAAGACATCAGGATGTGTCAGACTGGATTAAAGGGGAAATGTGTATCAAATGATGCACAAGTCGTCTTGAATTTTCCATGTGATGTGATGATCAAAGACAGAAAATAACGTTTTGGATTTACCTCAGAAAGGTTTAACATGTGATGTACATTTTTGGCATGCTCTCAGATAAAGAATAAGAATGACATTTAAATGTCGCAACAGTTTCTGCTCGTCATTGTGAACTACAGGTATCTTCTTGTGTCAGAAATATGAATAATCGTAAATAAAAAAAGGGTTGCATATTAAGTAATTTGTGCATTGTTTAAATTATCTGAAATTCCTCTCTGAGAAGGTGCTTTGAAATGTGTGTGTGTGTGTGTGTGTGCAGGGAGCGGCACAGTGGACTTTGATGAGTTCCTGGTCATGATGGTGAGATGCATGAAGGACGACAGCAAAGGGAAGACAGAAGAAGAGCTCGCTGAGCTCTTCAGGATGTTTGACAAGTATGTTTTTATTCTTAAACCCTACTACTATCAATGAAATATTAATCCCGTAAAAGCAGCTAGCTCATCTTTGGGGTAACTGACAAACAGACGAGTCAAATTATATTTAACAAGTGGATGCTTTCACCTCAGAACCACCGCAGCCTAGTTATTAAATTGCACTTTAGTGTGGTTCCAGCAAAGTATGCTCCCCATGTGCAAATTATGAGCTCTGACAAAATGCCAGGAAGCTCTGCAGAGAACTGCATGTAGTTCGTTCCTTAATCGCTTTTGACAGTTCTGAGTATTCCTAACACCCCCTAGCATGTATGCCAGACACCTCGTCTCAGCATCAAAGAACAAACTCCCCATTCCTTACTCCCGTCATGGTTTCGCAGAAATTTGTAAAGCCCAAGATATGAATTTTCACATGACTTTCCCCTAATGCCGCCCTTGAAGCTCTGTGTGAAATTTATGAGAGCACAACACAAATTGCACTGCTTTGACTGCACAGAAATGCAGACGGTTACATCGACCTGGATGAGCTGAAAATGATGCTGGAGTCCACAGGAGAAGCGATCACTGAGGATGATATTGAAGAGCTGATGAAAGACGGGGACAAGAACAACGATGGCAAAATTGACTATGATGGTAAGGGGGTTTGAACTCCGGAGAAAAAAGAAGCGTAACAACTGAAAAGCCTCTAAAGGTTTCTAAAAGTCTTTGTCTTGACAGCAATAATGTGTCCTGTAATTGTCTCGTGTTGTGTTTGGTTCAGATCCTGCTTAGCAGACCGGTTCTACGTTGTGTTAATTGGCAATTATACATCTAAATGAGCAAAGACCATATGTGGAGTTTCTCAAGGCTTCATTTTCAGGCTGCATTAATTCAACATTACATGGTCTCTTTAGCTTTAATTATGGAGAACTAGAAGATCTCCTGCAATATCTATCCATCCTGGAGATGTACCATTTTATATCTCTATGTCATCTCTTGGTTATAGTCACTGAGGATATCTGGGAGTGAACTAGTCAGAATTTTCTTTAATTTCATGCAAAACATATTCAGAATATATGGTTAGAGAATGTCTTCATTGCCCTTGAACTATCTTGTTTATGGACATTGATTTATAAAATATCTTTCCTTGATTTGCTGTTTCATACCAGTTTGGCAGAAGTTAAGTGGCTTTCTGAACATGGCTTTCTTATTTTACAGAATTCTTGGAGTTCATGAAAGGAGTGGAGTAACCTTGAACTGGAGAGGATACAAGTTATTTTGAGTGTCACTGTGACTCCACAGTCATCTGTGGAAAACTGGATTTGGCTGCAGTTGATGGAAAACAACGGGTCAGCATTGCAAACACTGTATCTGATTTTTTTCTCTTTTTTTTTTTTTGTCTTTTGTATTTTCTACCATATCTTCCATTGTTGAAGACACAATTTTTGACTTTCAGTACATTGAATCTGTGTCAACTTGTCTAGATCACTTAAAATGTTTGCTGAGACCAAATATTATTTCCCCTACAGCTGAT